AAAAAAAATTTTTGTTATTCAAATTACACGAACACACGTATCTGATTACGTTTAAAACACTTTTTAACGTGGCGTTACATTGGGAATATATATTTAACGTGTTAGATAAAGTAAAAAAAAAAAAAAAAGTATTATTACCATCCATTACGAGTCATTGTAAATATTTAATTAATATTCATATTTGTCCTCATTATCATTATCTTCATCTTCATTTCCTCGTTCATTATAGATATGAAATATATATTATAAGAATATTAATTTGTTTTTATACGTTTTAAATGACAAAAACTATTATTTTTCTTCGAAAGTATAATTATTTAAATATGTTATATCTTATTATTTCGTGGAATTGACGATAGCCAAGAGATTGTATAGCCTGGTCGAAACCAATAATGGCGACTAAAGTATTATATTAAAAAGATAAAGATCAGTTTCTTCTATTTTTTTTTTTTTTTTTTATCAGATAATTTTATTTTAAGATATTGTATTCTTTATCAAAAAGAAATACTTCACGAATAATTTAAGAGAAGAAATTAGATTATAAATTTCTTACATTATACACATTGTATTTGTTAATAAGAATTAATTAATGACACGTTATAAAGCACAAAGTAGATAAATAGTTTTTAACAATAAAACTTGAAGATTTATCGCACTTAATAATGGCACACTGTCTAAATACAATGATTAAAGTTTATTGTTTGCTTTCTCTCGTAAAACTGACTTTTACTTCGCAAGTTGATTCTCAACGGGTAAAAAAGGAAAAATGTAAAAATGAAATATTTTCGAGTTGGACAAAATAATCTTTGCTCGTAAAAAGATTCACCGATATTTTTACATTAAAAATGGTCCACTTATCTAGTCGAAAGAAATATAAGACGAGAAATCACAACATGAAAAATGCTATGAAAATTGCTACTGGGTTAATTCCATTCGATTTTTCAATTTTTCGTGCATAATAATGCAACGTGACGAGGAATAGCGGAAGCTTCGATCGTAAATTACTTTTAATTAAAAATCGCGATTTAAACGCGATTGTATTCGTGGAAGATTTAGGACAATGGTTATTCGACGAAACTCGTTATTTTGAAAATTGCAAGTTGTATCGATTCTCTCCGACACGAATTTTTAAGTAAGAGTAATGAGAAGTGTCGTAAAAAAATTTAGAAGTGAAAAAAAATGTTTACGAGAAAAACACTCGAAGTTCCACGAAAGATAACGTGGTTCAAGAATTGCTCGGATGTAACCTCAATGTTTAAAATCACACATGATATACATTATGCATGAAGATATTTAAGAGTTGGTTGGAAATTAAAAGAAGAGACGAATGCATTGAACGTCAAGTTCTTTTGTAGTTATATTCATTCATATCTTTAATATTTCTCTCTTTTTATTTTTTTTTTTTTTTTTATATCCAATGTTCATTCCGCTCTTGGAACATCCTTTTATACGCGAAGGTCGTTTCTAAAAATATTAACATTTTCTTGGAGCAATTTTTAAAGCTTGAAAAAATTATTCCAAGAAAACGTATTTGAGAAATTTACGAGGACAAGGATTGTCGAAGAAAAATTTTATCAATTTTATTCTATTATTGTCGATATAAATTTTATTAGATTCGAATTAAATATCGCGTATCGTAAAATAAAAAAAAAAAAAGTTTAATTTAATCATGGTTTAATTCAATCAAAGATAGAAAATGTTATTATAGGTAGAAATAATGAAAAAAATGTGAACGAAAAATATAGTTTGTTTAATCAGTTATTTAAACAGTTACCAGATGTTTGCCGCATTTAGTATCACTAGTCGCTAAACAACCACTCATCCAATTAGACCTCGCACTTAATTCGAACCACGTCATAAAGAACGTCATAAAGGAAAAGTGAAACTAAAAATGACTTCCTCTACCTTCTACAAAAGTCAAATTTCAAAAATAAATACATTCATAAAAATGATATAAATTTTCCCTATGATATTCAAATACATATGTATAATATTCAAAATTCCAAAAAATATTTCAAAAAAATAATCTACATGGACAAGTATTTTTCCAATTTCGAAACAGAATGTGAATGGGATTTAATCATCATCATTTAGTCAATTTAGGAACCCGGAGTACGTCGAAATGATTACTCGATTATAACCTATAATACAAATATAATAAAATTTCAAAAAAAAAAAAAATAATTTATAGATAACTTTAATCTTTTTTTAATTTCAGAACGTGAAAATGGAATTTAGTCATCGGGAATTCAAAGTATGTAGAAATGACTCGGTCATAACCTCGATATTTTTCGATATAAAGCATAAATATATATTGAAAAAAAAAAAAAATAATAATTCGTAGATAATTATATCTTTAATTAAATCTTATTCTAATTAATTAAATCTTTTTCTAATATATCGAAACAGAAAACGTGAAACAAAATTTCATTCATCGACACAAATTCGAAACTTGTCTATATTCGAAACGATCACTAGATCCATAAATCAATCTCTCAATCTTTTACAATATAAAATACATATATACATACAATATATATATACATATTCAAAATTCGAAAAATCCAATTCGAAAAAATAATCCAATTATTAATCTTTTTTTCTTTTTTTTCGAAATTTCGAAACAGAACGTGAAATGGAATTTAATCGTCGGGAATCTGGTATATGTCGAAATGATTACTCGGTCATAACCTCGATCTTGAAAGTTTCGTGTGTACGCGTTATGTAAATACACATGCGAGCGTCTGTGGTTGCGGGCACAAAATGACGTGAACAGGTGATAGAGTCTAACGGAACGTCTGAACGGTACTCGTTTCTTCTTTTTTTACCTCTCTCTCCTCTCCCTACCATCTTTTTCGTTCTCTCGATCGTTCGTGCCATCCAGCATCCTAAATCTTCTCTCAAGCCCCGTAACCTTGGCCCACTGAACAAAAAAGTAGTCCTTGTTCCGGCCGAGAAACGAAGGTTCGCTCGGTGAACTCCGGGATTAATTGATTATAACACGTGACCTCTTATCCTGTTCCACCGTTTCTCCGATTATTCGTTAATTTCACGATTATTATTTTTGAAAAAAAAAGAATTTTTTACGAATGATGGATTCGATTCTCGATTAAATTTCTCGATAATTTCGTAAATTAATAATTCGCGCATTTTAAATAGCGTTTTTTTTTTTTTTTTTTTTTTTTAAGTTTTCCATTCGGTACGAGATATCGAGTTAAATTGATTTAAAATGAAGTGACACGATTTTTAAACGGAAGTTAGGTATTAGAAGAGGAAGAGAAAGATAGATAAACAGATCTAATTCTAGCTTTAACTTAATTTACCAAAGTTAAATTGCTTGTAACTTGAAAAATAAGATTAAATGGATGTTTATTTGCAATTATCAATTTTACTATACATCTTATAAATTTCTACTTCGTTTCGAACGATTTTGTACATCACGTATTTGCGTATACGTTTATTCGTTTTAATAATAAAAATAGCTCAATATTAAATTAACAGTATTCTTAATTATTATTAATAATAAATCTAAATGCCATACGACTTGTATGCAAATTAAATTATTAAATGATATAAAATCCGACGAATTAAATTCTCGAGAAAGCAAAATATAAAAAAAAAAAAAATTCTTACAATACTTTAACTCGCCAATGATGCAATTACAAGTAGAAAGTGAATGTCGTCTGTTTGCGCTATCTGATATTGACATTCTCGCGTCGTTCTTTCAAAAATCCTTTTCTGTAAGAAAACTTGAAAATTATTACGCAATAGGATTATACATAGGATTATATATAGCTTTATACACGAAATAAATAAATAAATAAAATCATCGAACGTAATGCAACATTACACGAATTGACTGCGATGCATTGAGATGAGTTAACATGGATCGATGGTCGAAAGGAGCGATCGAATAAAAATTTTCCTCCGAGCAATCGGCACGGAAGGTCATCGTCCTTCTAACCATCTAAGGTGGGCCGTTTATCGATTACCATACAAAATAAGCTGCCGTACATATATATATATATATATATATATAGAATGTTTGTGCCTCATCGTGTCGATGAAGTATGTATAGATTGTGCTGATCAAGGTTTCGACAGTTCCTTATCAGCGAAAACCTTCGCGATACCTTCTCACTTGAGTCACCGTTAATAGGGACTAAAAAAAAAAAAAAATGACACGATGCATTTTCATTCTTTCTTTCTCGAATAAAGAAACCCTGAACTATTTTACTCCTCTTTGATCTAGACTAATACTTTTCCTTTATTTATTTTTCTTTTTTCGAGATTCGATTCAACAAACGACCTGATTTCGAAATTCGCTCGAAATATTTTATCTCCTTATTATATAATTTAATATAATTTATTTAATTATATAATTTATATCTATATAATTTATTATCTTTCACATATTCTGAAATTTTGATATGTACTTTTCGATTCTGTCTGTTTACAACTTTGTTACCTGGCCGATCGTCGTTGATTTATAAATTATCGAATCGATTTCTTTTTAATTATCATCTTGGCAGGAAATATAATTTCTTGAATAAGTAACTCTTTCGATTCTGATTCTTTCTGGCAGGAGTAAAAAATATTTTCTAAAATGAAATAAGTTAAAAAATTTAGATATTAGGAAGAAAGAAAAATATATTGTTGTTTTTTTTTTTTTTTGGAAACTTTTATCATCGCTGAATATTAGAATTTAATTTAGAATTAATTTCTCTTTATCTCTTCTTTCCAAAATATTCCCATAAAAGAAAAATAATCAAAATCGAATAAACGACGAATATATTAATTTAAAAATTTCTTCCTAATCATGTACACGGAAATGCAAAGAATATAATAAGATAATTAAAGATCCATCAGAGATCACAAAAAGACAGAAGAGATGAAAAATAATGCATCAAAGAAGAATTCTTTTTTTTTTTTTTTTCCCTCCTCTATATCGGAGCAACATATTGATAGCAGTTGTTGAAGCGGAAATGCTTCGTATTTCAGACGGCATTCCTGACTGTGGCTCTCCTACCATTCAGACTAGCTGCAATTACGGCTCTGGTGATCATGGCCTGGCTTTTGGCTTGTCTAGGTCTTCTTGGATTGTCCGAGGAAGATCTTCGACGCGCACCTTTGACGGGGTGGAGACGGTAAGATGCATCGAACCGCCATTATTACCTTCTTCTCGTCTCGTTTCCATGCGTTTTTTCTTTTTATCGCCTCTGCACTCTCTTTGGCTTTTCTGTCCACTCACTTTGAATGCCTTAAACTAAAATTTAAAAAGTTTTTCCTTTATTATTTCTATTTTTCTAACGAGTTTTTGATTTTGTTTGTTGTACGGATATTGGAATTTTTGCATGGCTTTACGGCTGTTATACAGACATTCGTTTATTTGTCGTTGTTGATTGAAGACTGGGCATAAAAAGAATCGCAAATATCGTAATTAAATATCGTAGACTTTCGAATTTTCTTAATATAAAAACTTTCTATTGTTAATTATTAGAGTTTTAAAATATTGACGTGATATAAAAAAATAAGTTTTAATATTTGTCAAAACGATAAAATTTTGTTAGATTGATATCTTAAAAATTTTAATTTTCAGCACGTGGCACAAACTTTTTTTTTATGACCGGTCTTTAATTGTAATTAGTTTTAAATTAGTTTTATATACCCGTGAATAATAGATAAAATTTTTCTTTTCTTTAGAAGAGGAAAGTGATTTTAAAATTGAATACAGTATTTTATTTTTTTTTTTTTTTTTTTGAATGAAGAATTCGTGCATTCAAATAATAAGAGACTTCACTTTCAGACAAATAGATTAACTTAATTAAGTTAAAATTTAATCAATCGATGCTATTTAAAATTTTATATTTCCCAATCAATGAAGTTTTAGATAAATGGAATATTATTGTAAACTCTGTCTTTTTTTTTTATTTGATTTCGAAATTATACATCTTTTCTTTTTAACGTTTCAAAAATGTTTTTGATTAAGTCTTTGATTTTTATAAAATTTCGATATGCGAATTTTCTCGAAATTTAACATATTTTTCTAATGAATTTTTTGTCTTTTTTTTTTTTTTAATCATCAAAAACTTACAAGCAAAAATAAATTAATCATATTTGCTTATAAGATTTATAATAATGGAATCTTCAATTGTTTGCCTCAATTTTTGTTCGTTTTACATTAACGTTATAAATAATAATGTTGAAAGATTGATAACATCACGTTATTGATAATGTAAGGAAAAGTAGAAAAGGATTTAGTTAGTAATTTAGAAAGGAAACAGCTGATAGAAATAATTGTACATAAATAATATATTAATTAATAAATACGTATTAATAAAATTAATAAATACGTATTATTAAATTATTAATACGTAACATTAAATAATATTCGATGCAATTTGAACTTGATCAAATTGAAATATTATATTTATTAAATTATATTTACTAAACCAAATTTCAAGAATTCATTAACTACATTATTGTTTTATTTTTAAAAAAACAATTATGTAAACGTAAAATTTAATATCATAAAAGCAAAACACGATTCGTCAATTAGTTTATATTGTAAAAGATTATTTACATATAATCAAAATAATAAAGATATTAAAATTAGCATTCTAAAAATCATTAAAAACGATATCTAGTCTCAAACTACAAATTATCGTACAATACAAAAGTACCATAATAAATTATGGTTTTTAACACTATTTTTAATACTAATGAAAATTTTCCATTTTTTTTTTATCTAAAACATGAAAATACAATAAAAATTTTTATTATGCAATTTTTTCTAATGTATCATTTTTTCTTTTTCTTTTCCAAATCAAACACTTCATTCTCTGTTAAAATTTATTTCAAATAAAGTGAATTTCTTTATTCACTTTCTTATTATTACAAATTCTTATTATTTCTACTATAATATTCCTTTTTCTTTCGAATCAAATACCGAACCTCTACCAAAATCTACTTATCAAAATGAATCTTCTTCTTACAATACAAATTCTTATTCTAATTATTTCCAATATATTATTTCTTTTCTCTAGAACCAAATATCGAATTCTCTGTATTAAAATTTACTTTCCACAAAACGAATCTTCTTATGTAGAAATTTTTATGTAATCATTTCTATATATATATATATATATATATATATGTATATATTCCTCCTCTTTTCGATCCAAATACCCTCTGTTAAAATTTACTTCACCCATACTCGATCTAATATAGTATATCATTCCATTTCTTTTCGAATCTCTGTATTAAAATTTTTCCTTCCCACGTCAATCTGAATCTTCTTACTTCTAACTAACTCTTACATAATTATTTCTCTATAACCTCTATTGCTCCCTACCTTCTCATCTCGAGCGAAATGAACGCACCTTCTAAAATTTATCCGGCACAAAGCGGGTACACTTCTTACTTGCAAATATCTCGCTTGATACTCTTCTCCGCTATATATTACTTCCTTCCTTTTATCGGGCCAAACGTTAAAATGTCTCCGTCGCAATACCGTGGCTCGACGCAGCCACGAGAGAGAGAGAGAGAGAGAGAGAGAGAGAGAGAGAGAGAGAGAGAGATGGATGGATGAAGAAATGGCCCTGGCCAAGATCCGATTACCGGCGAGACGAAAATGATTAGGATAAATTGCGGAAATCCCTTGAAGAATTTTATTTCACGGTCGTACACTTGAAATGATTGAAGACAGGCCTAGGTGGGGAGTGAGCGTGAATGACCGCGGCAAAGAAACGAACGAGAAAAAGATACGATAAAAAGAATAAGTAACGGGAGAAAGTACGGGTTGGATAAGTAGTTCGTGCCCGTTCTCTCGCTCCCAACCTTCCGATCGATGGAATTCGCAATAACAATTCCTCCGGCGCATCATTTCGCCGCCTGTCGCCTATCGCGTCTCGTGATTTCGATCGTTCCACGATATTTAATCGCAACAAGTGTCGCGTTTCGCGCACACACCTCTTCGATCATACATTTCGAACGAAGACAATTTAATCTCTGTAATTTTCAACAGCTGAAACGCCGCGCCGATTTCACGTGGAAATAATTTTCTAACACGATTCGAGAAGTTTTGCTCGCGATCAATATCGCGATAATACTCGTGTGTGTGTGTCTGTGTATATATATATACGTATATATATATTATTATTGAATTGCGATTAGATACTTTCTTCCTTTTTTTTTTTTTTCGATTATATCGTTCTGATTTTATTATTATTATTTTTTTTTTTTAGAATATTGTATTGTATTATTGTATTGTATTCTATATTGTATTATATATAGAATGAAATTTAATAATAAATGGGAGGAATGAACTTTTTAAAAAATTGAATATATATATATATATATTTTTTATGAAGAAAGTCATGAGATATTTAATAAACAAGAAAATAATTACTTTTTTATTGGAAATTGTAAATGTATTTATAATGAAGCTTGGAATTTGGTTCGATGGAAAAGAAAATGATATATAATGATCATTTCGATTTTAATTCGATGTAATTCAAATTATGGATAAGAAATATATAATAATAATAAAATTTGTTTCTTTCGTCTACAGTAACATTCAGGAGGCGTATTTGTTTCGATTTCTATAAACGGAAAGTGTGTCACAACACTTTCAAACATAGACATTGTTTAGAATAACAAACTCCCCCATAAGAACACGTCACACAGGAGAAATGTTATCGGCAGAAGTTTGTTTGCACGGAAATATAGTCGCTTTTTGCAATAAAATAATTATCGCCATCTTCTACTGTACTTTGCACATCCACCACCAGATATACATCCAATATTTATTATTAACTCGAAATGCAAAGTTCCATGGACATTGTACACATAGAGTAGTATCGATTGAATTTAATTTTCAATATGTATAGCAAAACGTATAGCAAAACAAATTGTCAATATCCTGAAATATAAATTTGTAAACGTTATTATTGAATTACATTACTGTTACATTGATATATAATTATTAAACTTTTTGGAAATTGAAGGATAAACGTTAGAAAAAGACTAGAATTATGTAACTAAAAAATGTATCTAATTTAAATAAAAAAAAAAAGGAATAACAAATATATAATTCTTTTCTAATTTTTAATTTATATATACTTATATTATTACAAAATGATTTTTATCTGATAAAAAAAAATAGATAAATAACTTTTTCAAGTTCGAGTTTATAATCTCAGCAAGAATACAACTAACTTTTTTTTTTTTATTCATATAATGATCAATAAAAACGATTTTTCCACAGTGTAACAGCTGTCCACTTTGAATAATTCAGTATCATTGTATAGACATTGGATTCGATGTAACCTTGAATAAATTACTTTTCTACCTTGAAGATGCATATTATGGCTTTTATGTTATGTACATATATAACAAAATTATTTAATTATTGTAGATATTTTTCCTTAATTTAATTGTTATGGATCGAGAAAATTTTAGTAGAAATTAATACACGAGATGCTTAATGTATATACATCGTTTGCTATATTATACTGCTATTCTTTCTCTTTGAGCAAATAAAATTGTAAATTATTCTTTTCTTTCCTTTTCCTTTGAAAAAGGGAGGCTATGCATGTTTCGTAACATCGATAATTATCTAATATTATCTAAGAATCTTTCATATTTTCTCTCAGGATTTTTTCATTAACCGTAAAAAACTTTTTCCTTACATCGAGCACTATGCATTGTCTCACCAATTTAACTCACACAAATATTATAATTAATTTAATCATTTATCAAACGATTACGGATCAAATTTATTTTGACCACCTCGATAGAACCTCGATTACTGAAAAAAAAAAAAAAGAATATTATATCGTTAACTCTTCTTTGACCATTCCTTTTTTCCGCCAACTATTGTCGTCATCGATCTAATTTCTAAAAATTATAAAATTTCCTTCGATACGCAATCATATGAAAGTGACACGCGTAGCGGCAAAGTAAACGAGATTCTATCAGATTTGTATAACTCTGAAAGTAGTATATTGTACACGTATATTGCACGACATAGAGAGTTGTAAACTTGCTTGCCAACGATTGTAGCACGATCTATATAAAATGATGTAATTTAAATATACTTGACCATGTATCTGTATATATGTATATGTATATATATAAAAATGGAAAATACAGAGACATGCGAATTGTGATCTGCTGGATGATGCGAGCATTGTTCATCTGCGGTGGATTTCATCACCTGAAGGTCAAAGGTCGTAGAGCAGAATCAAAGGATGCCCCCGTGTTAGCCCTAGCCCCGCATTCAAGCTTCTTCGACGCACTTCCGGTTGTTTACCTCGGCGGACCGAGCATCGTCGCCAAAGCGGAAATCGGGCGCATTCCTTTTTTCGGAAGTAGGTTTTTTTCCTCCCAAATTTTTGCTCTCTCTTTCTCTCTCTCTTTCTCTCGATCGGAGTCGTTGTTCCGTCACGTCGTTTCCGGTTTCTACGAATTAATCGAATTATTAGCCGTACTGTCGTGATTTTATCGATCGTTTTTTTTTTTCTTTTTTTTTTTTTTTTTTTTTTAGAAATTTCGTCCTTTTCTATTTTTTACTTGAAGATTTTACTCAAAGATAAAGGAGAAAATGAGAAGAGAAAAGAAGGAAAGTGGTTTGTAAAATTGTTGTTTTCGAATGTTATTATTTGAAAAAGAAAATCTCGGAGGAAAGGAAACGTTTGTTTCGCAATTTGTTTCCTTGATATCGAACCCTTAATATCGTGAGAGTTCAATAAAGTAACGTGAGACACTTTTTGCTCCATAATTTAATTTTTCGTTTCATTCTCGAGAATTAATGAGATGCGGCGAATTTTTAAAATCAAATGGCAAATTAAATGGAAAATTGATTATTTCTGTAAAAAGTAGAAAGGAGATGATAATAATATGTTATTTTACGAAACTTGAAACACGATGGAACACGATTTTTAAAAATCGCATTACGAATAATGCAAATCTTCACATTCTCCATTTTATTTCCTAGAAATTGAATCCTCGAATAAGGATATATTTTGTTTCTATTTGCTAAAGAAAAGTTCTAAGAACTCGTAAATCCAAGAATCTCGCATTATTAATCCTTGTTTATTAATTCTTCTTCGAATCTATTTTATTAGTTGAAAAGAAGAATCTTTAAAAAAAGAAAAAAATGTATTCTCGATCGATCGAAACGTCATTTCATCTTGAATATTATATATTACGATATATATAATTATATATATATATATATATATAATTTACGAATCACGTATTCCATATTCGAAATCTACGAAATCGCATGTAATCGTTAAAACAATTGTAAAATAATATTAATATCGTACAACAGATTTTATGTATAAAATAACTTCGTTATCTTTATACACGTGCAGTTAATATCGAAGAAAAGAAAAAAAAAATCGTATCGACTTGATAATGATACGAAAAAAAATCGAATATAAACATGCATATACATGCACATACATACACCTGTGAAAACAGGGAAGAGAAAGATTATTCGGATATATAAAGGCTAACAGAAATATGTATATAGGTGGTGAATGGGGAACATTATGTATTGTTACTAACAATATCTGGAATAATGGGCATACCTACATCACTAACTGACACTGTTTAATACTGGACAATCACAGTTGGAGCACGTTATTTTCTATAAGAGGTTCAAAGGTTAACAATCGTTACAACACCTGATAACGCATGACTACGGATACCGCCTTACTACGTTCCTTATTTCCTATTTTCCAAATAATTTCCTCCCTTCTTCCTCCCTCTTCTCTCCCCGCTTCGACCCGAACGCAATACACGAAATTATCGGTTTTTCTTCCCTTTCTTTCCCTATCAGAGAAAAAAAAATAAATAAAAAGAGAAAAAGTTCGTCAAAGTCTCGGCAAAGCGGAGGTGTAACGCAGGAGGAACGATCGGGGAATAGCTCGTGGAGTAACGAACCTCGCGGCTGCGTAAACTTTCTCGTTACAATGTCACGTGACTCCTCCGGGAGCGAAGTAAAGTTTCACTGTTGCGCAAATAAACCGATACGCGATAGGTCAATTCCACGTAACGTTTGAAGCAGAAATTAATATATCCTCTCTGTTTGCAAATGTCTCGAACATTTTTATACCCTGCGTGTCGATTTTATATCCAAAAGTATGGTATAGTTAAAGTGTGGAGCGTTTTCGATATTGTTTATTATTTCAATCAACATATTGTCTTCATCACACGAACCGACATCGACTCGAGACGTTAATTAGATGCTAATTACCCGTATCGGCGAAGCTGTGTATATATATATATATATATATATCATTCATTTCACGTGAAGTATGCAGCCGAGAGTTTCGAACAAAACGGGCACACGGCAATTTTAAATATTGACATAAGAGTTTCCGCAAATTTGTCGGGAAAGAGGAAAGAGGAGATGAGAATTTTCATCTATGTAATTCGAGTCGCTAATGTTGCTCGAGATTCCGTAAAGGGAGGGAGTCGCGTTCTCTTAGAAAGTCGATTGGAGGAAAAGATCAAAGGAACGAGGGCCTCGCCCCTCGTTCAAAATTTCAAGCAGTGTTAATTACAAAAGAAAAAAAAAAAAAAAAGAAAATCTGGATCAAAAATATCAGAAGATATAATTCCTTTTGCCCTAAAGGGGATTGGATCCGAATTTTTTTTTTTTATTTTTGTGAACTAGGGGAAAAAAGGGAACAAAGGTAGAGATATTAATTGAAGAATAATCAAAAATAAATTTTTCAAAATTTTTCTTGAAACGGAACGATCATCTCTCGAAACGATCCACTCCATTCCATTTTATTATGCAATACCGATCGATAAACGGGATTGATCGAAAAATGGGGAAATAATCGTAAAATAAATAGGCAGATTAGACGTTTGAAGGAAAAAGAAGAAGATGAGAGAAAGATTAAAGGAAAAGAAAAAAAGAAAAAAAAAACGATCGCGTCCTCGAGATCTCGATGGATCTCGAGATGAATTTAAAGAATGAAATGGGGAAACGTGTTAATCGGAGATTAACGTTAAAACCTGCAGCAAAATAGTGCCCTGGTTGTGCTTTATGGGTCGGCTCACTTACCAAGCAGGAGGAATGAGAATCGTTGTGCGCGGAAGGCAGGCGACGAGGGCGGAAGCGCCGATCTTAGTGGTTGCACCCCATTCGACCTTCATGGACGGAGGGATTGTCTACATAACTGGCTTCCCTTCGATCATCGTAAGACGAGAATCAGGATTGAACCCTTTCATCGGAAGTACGTGCCAATTATTGAAACGATTTCAATCGCTTTCGATCATTAACCAATCTGGCTGGATCCTTTCCTTCAATAAATTGCGTAGAGTTAATCAACTAACCAATTTCTCATCGTACGTTATTTAATTTTATTTAATATCATAATGTTTAGGGTAATTCCGATCGGGACCAATTGAAATAATTTCTCGAAAAAGAATTAGATCAGTTTAGTGGCTATTTTTAGAGGTTTTTTTTTTGAATGTGAATTGAATCTAGATCGTATTAATGATTGTACGTGTGTGTATAATTATATTTGTATCGTTTGGGAAAAAGTAAATAATACTAATTTAATATCGATTGAGTAAAAACGTTAAATGAACGTGAATTAATTTGAAATATTGAGAAGAAATATTTCGTGTGTATAATTCATATATTTCACGATGTAAAAACAAGATATTTGATGTGAAGCTTTCTTAAATTTAGATATAAGGTATAACCATCTCTTATGTGTGAATTACGAATCGATATACGCGTTATGATTCACGAAATTTTACAAATTATTTTTATTAAGACAAATCATAATGTAGAAATCTTTTTTTTTTTTTTCTTTTTAATACTAGAAATATTTGAATTTATTTGGAAATGATCAATTTCCAAAATTTTTGATTCCCTATTTTTTTAAGATATACTTTCTATTTCCATTCATTTCATTTCTTACATCGTATACGAGTAAAATTAGCTTATTAAAAAAAGAAGAAAGTATGCATTATACATACGAATATTCCTTCCACCAAATACAGAATTATGTTTTTACATTGAAAATATTGATTTTTAGAATCTATATCAATTAATATCAATCAAGTATTTTATTTCTCTTGATGAATAATATTCAGAATTAATTATAGTAAATTATATATATCTTGTTATATATGTCTTGCAATTTTCTAAATTGTAATTTGTTTTTCTTAATTATTTTTAGAAATAAATTTCATAAATTTGATAAATTTCATAATTTGATAAATTTAAACGAATAAAATCTATATAATTTCTTCCACATTAATGATTCTTGATTCTTATATTTTGAAACACAAAACGAATAGATTTTGTTACTTAAATAAACTTGTTAATTATATTTCGTTATTTATATATAATATTTTCATTAGTTTCGTAATTATTTTATGAAATAACACGATTCACATTCACAGAAATTTCTATTGATCATAAGAAGGAAATTATGAATATAACTTTTAACAAAAAGGATGCCCAAGAATTTTGATACGTAATTTTTAACTATGACTTGTCGTAATATTAAGAAATATAATAATATAATGATCTAATAATATAAATACCCAAAAATTTGGATTGCAATTTTTTTTTAAGCACATCATCTTTTAAGATTAATATAATTTTTAACAATTTTTATGCAAATATAATTTAATATAACTATTTGCAATTAAAAAGAATTTCCATGTAAAAAATATCAATATTGTCAATAAACTAATTTTTTTCCAAGATTCTCCCATTCACCACGATACATATGAAATAAATTTTAAAACATATTTAATATTTATATATATAAATATTTATTATATATTTATTTATATAATAATTTTGAAAAATATGTTCAGAAACTTTAAGGAAGGTAAAATTAAATAATAGAAAGAAAATTTAACATTCACTTTTCGTATTTAAGTAAAATTAATACGAACTACAATTGACGTATAATTGACATATGAGTGGCGTTGAAAATTAATTTATTGCATGAGTTTTTTATTTTTCCGTTTGTTATATATATATATACATATGTATGTATGTATGTATGTATGTATGTATGTATACATATATTTTTCTATGACACGCTCACAGAACTTATCAACTATACGCAACCAGTCTATGTTTGGAGAGAAGATCCGAATTCACGACAAAATACGATTAAGGAAATTATCGAAAGGGCTACTTCGAAAGAAGATTGGCCACAGGTATCATTAACAAAGAAAATATTTTTTGTAAAAATTAAGATAGATAAAATTTTTTTATTTTGATTTAAACCGAACAGATAAACTTTAAAAATAGAAAAGAAAATCAAAAAATAATTTTCTACTAGATCTCACTAATTAAATTTATATATTTAAAAAAAAAAATTATATTTTTATCTATGTGTATATGTAGTATATTTTTAATATTAATATATCTTTGATTTTTTGTGATTTTTATAAATTTTTAAAATATTTATATATTTATATATGTTTATATAAGTTGCAATTAAAGTATTTTTACAAAATAAAAATATATATATAAATATATATGTATATTTTATATATATATATATATATATATATAAATATTTAATTAATTAATTGCAACTTAATTGTTTATTTTTAACAAGAATTAAAATTTATATATAATAAATTTATTTATATTTAAAATAATTAAAAATATTATTAAATATTCTCAATATTTTTTTTAATTAAAAACACTTTTAAAAAATATCTTTATTTGTAGGTGATGATTTTTCCCGAAGGTACTTGTACAAATCGATCGTGTCTCATTACTTTTAAATCAGGAGCATTTTATCCCGGTGTTCCTGTTCAGCCTGTTTGTATCAGATATCCTAATAAATTAGACACCGTAACGTGGACCTGGGAAGGTCCTGGAGCGTAAATATTTCATGTCTTTTTTATTTTAATTAAAAAAAAAAGAAAAAATTCATCGAAATATCAAAAATTATAAAAATTATATTTTCAGATTAAAATTACTGTGGCTTACATTAACACAATTGAATAGCAGTTGTGAAATAGAGTTCCTCCCCGTTTACAAACCAAGCGAAGCCGAAAAAACAGATCCTAAGCTTTATGCAAATAATGTCCGACGTCTTATGGCGGAGTAAGTATTATCAAAGTAGAGATAGATTTTGAATTTTGAAGAATAAATAATGAAATAAATAGAAATCTTTAGAAATCTTTATATTTAAGTATTAATTATATTTAAGTATTAAAATAAAATTTCATTTATTTTTTAGAGCATTACAAATTCCTGTATCAGACTATACGTATGACGATTGTCGAATTATTAGCAAAGCTCATCAATTACATATACCACGAGCATCTACCATAGTGGAAGCTCATAAACTTCGTAACAAACTTGGGTATGTTATTGAAATTTAATAAATTATTTGTAGAAAAATATATATATATATATATATGTATATTATATTTATTATTTTATTATGTACAAGTATTATATAATAAAGTAATAATTAAATATGTGAAATTTTTCATTCTTATAGTTTGGTATCGACAAAGATGGAAGAAGAATTAGTTCAGAAGAAAACAGAAAGATTTAGCGAAGAAGTTAATTTACACGAATTTGCGCAAATTCTTAGAATAGATGCAAAAGAATCTGCTACTCAACAACTGTTTCGAATACATGATAGAGTCTGTATTATTTATTTTTTGTTCATTATAATATTTATATCATCGTAATGATACTTGTTTTGTCAAATATCTAGTATTTTTTATTATTTTCATTTTCTCAAATTCTAATATCAAAGATAATATTAAAATAGTAGTTACGTATACGTATAAGTTTATTATATAATAATAATCAATATATTTCTACGCGTGGATATAAATAATGCACATATATTACACGCGACAATTAGTTTACTAATACAATGATTATTGCAGCAAGGGAATGGTAAAATAGATTTGGAACAATATTTATTCACAGTACTAGCCACAACAAATGCAAATTCGGAGCTAGACAAAGTTGAAACAGCGTTTGAAGTAAGTATGAAAAGAAAATTTAATAAATTTATCTTTTATATATATTATATACGTCATGATGAACAGGTATGTGGCACAAAATCATTATCGTGTATTAATAAAATGGAATTAAGAAAAGCTTTAAAACTCTCGTTAAATGTGCCGCTGGAAGAATCTGATAAAATTTTTCAGAATGCAAAAATTGATTTTGCCGATACGACAGTGAATTTTGGTAAGTTTCTTTTAAATTAAGCTATTAAAAAAAAATGTAACTTTGTAATAACAATTATTTTTTTTTTTTTCAATTTTAATCATGTTCGGATAGAATTCGTTTTAGCCGCACTAGCAGCAAGAACAGAATATTCTCATATATTCGCTGGAAATCCTGAAACGAGGAAAAAAAATATTTGAGAGTATTTCATCAACTCGTTCCATGTTCATCGAAGATACAGGACACATCGTGTTTGTGGCAGACCGCTTCTTAATCAGATATGTGCTAGTCCTGTGTAAATTTGTTCCATTCTTGCTGATATTACTATCTTCTCAACGATTAAATAACCATTCATTGTTTAGTATTATATTATCGTTGACGAAGCAAGAAATATTGTCTTCGTGAAAACTAAGAAAATCATATATGGAACGAGAAAAATCTATAGAGATTATAATAATCGTACTGAGCGAACATTAAATAGAAAAGTTTTTCATACGAATAAAGTAAATTTTTAAAAGGAGTGCAAAAATCCAAAATAAAATAAAAAAGAAAAAAGGATGATATATATTTATTATTTAATTTGTATTTTAATAATTTCTTATTTACTATAATTTAATTTATAAAAATAACAATTTTTATATCGTATTGTTTTTTTCATAATGAAAATATACGATTATAATTACAGAAATGCGAAAAAAATAAAATACTTTTTATAGTCTTTTTTATTTTATTTATTATGTAGTTCATACGCATACAGTAGTCGTGATGTTGTTTCGATTTCGTTCGAATAACAAGGCATAATAAAAAAAAAAATATTATGTATTTTCATTCATACACACTTATCGTTATTCATCTAAAGTTTATTGCAAAAATTTCCTCCCTTTCAAAATATCACATTAAAATTTAAAGTCATGTAAATAGTATTATATCGATGGTTTCTTAGACGTAAGCGTATGCAGATTCCCTCCTCGTGTAAAAATTACGACAAATTATCTATGCAAAATAAAATTAGTTTTAGAATTATCTAGATTGCTCAGGATACTGATTAATTAATTTGAAGGCTACTGAATGTCCCGTACGTTGTATTGTAATAAAGCGTATGGCTAATAGTTGGTGAATAATAGAATTATATAAATGTAACCAAAATTTCTGATATGTCGAATATGTCTAAGAAAACCAAATGTGTTTAGGACAATGCATTTAGAATAAATATGCTATAAAATTTATTCTTTGCACGATAATAATATATTGAATAATATTTAATAAACATAAATAAATATGTACACATATATATATATATATAT